TATTGATTTTAATTGTCAAGCAGCTGACGTTGATTGCAAGTTATTTAATTAAGGGAAAAAAAAGAGAGATTCAATCCTCGAGGCAGAATCTGAACAATGTTCCAGGGATAAAGGCTGGTGTTGACGATGATCAAATAATTCACTTAAGGCTGTGAATGGACCTTTAATTTCTTTTTTTACCTTTAATCATGTCAATTTTATGTTTTACAGTCAAATCTAAACTCGGTCTTTGTAATATTATATAGATATTTCTTGACTGTTCATCTGGTACTCATCTCCCCGTCCTCAGCATCCCTTTGCAAGAGATTCATTGTTCAGTCACGTTTGCTGCTGACTCGAGTATCTTTGTTCCTGCTTAGAAAGACGAGGCATTTCTTTTAAAGCGAAAAACAACGATAACTAAGGGGTATGCTTTATCTTTGGATGAACAGATAAACAAGTGTTGAGCGCAGCAGAGAGATAAGGATGCAGATTGGCAGCATCGCGAGAAGATAAAGTCATCGGACAGAAAAACGAGTATGTTAAATATGTAAAAAGTCTCCAAAGAGTCATATTCTTCAAATTTTCAGAGTCTTTCGAAAAAAACCGCGAGCACGTTATAACCCCCCCCCCGCCCCCCAATAAGGATTTCCAACTGAAATTCAGCCTCCGTTCAGACTTTCCAGCGACTTTGAATCTTCTCGTGGATCGCGTGACGTTCGTTGCGTTCACGGTTTCCCAATTTCAGTCGGTAAAGAAGATTTCGAAGATGGCAAACGCAACGAAGCGAACTTATTCCTAGGGTGACATAAGAAATCACTTAGCTTTACGAATTCAACGGGACATTGACTTCTGCAGTTTTGAAAATCGGATCAGTAAGCTACTATAGGGATGAGGATAAGATAAGGGAGGAAACATTTTTCAACGTTTGGCAAACTTTTGGAAAATTCGGAAAAAAAAAATGTTAATATACATGTATACACAGCTAGGTTATCCGCGGTATAATACACACGCGTGCATGTGTGTAGTGGATACAATTCTTTTTTGTAAAGAGCTTATCCGACACACGATAGATTCGTATAGGATGCAAGAGCTTGGTCCAGAGAGCTTAGATCTGTCGAAAGCTCTTCCGAAGATCACGCGATTACTCCCACGGACATAGAAAGGCTTCTGCTAAAAGCAAACGGGGTAAAGAGGAGATTGCTATACGGGAAAAAAAAAAAAAAAAAAAAGAGGGGTTGCCTCCCCAAGAAATAACGTGCTAAGGGTCGAAAGGATTTTTTTTTATACAACGTGGTATAATATTAGCTACCCATACCAGATGTACCAGGATATATAGAGGGTGTCAGGGAAGATTTTGATAACATCGTACAGGACTTTTCTTTCGAGGTCCCAAAACCGAGACCCTTTAAATTCTTACCCCCCTTTGAATTCGCCTGAATTTATTAATGTAATATCGCCGCTTCTACTTGGGCTGCGCGATTAGCCCCGAGGGTTGAATACGCGGGTGGCTTTTATTTAATTGAAAATTGTAAACAGTATCGCGGCAAATAATAAGAATTCAAATCACGTTTTCCTCATTGATACGTAAATTTCGAGTGAAATCTCGAATCTTAAATAAAACCGTAATCTTAATATTTCTGTATTCTCGAAAATTTCGGACGTACCGTTCACGGTCGCTAACCTGTACCGGTGTGAACGCCGTATTATAATTTTGAAAATATAATTAGTACATTGAACAACAGAGTGCGGTGTGATTATGGTCTGTTAATTGACTTTGGCGTAATTATGGTTGTCGCAATGATTAAGCTGATAAGGGCTGCAGTCGTGACGTAATAGGCTCGACTGTAAACGTTCGCGTGGAAACTAGCTGGAGATTTAGGGCGCCTATTGATTCCTGGCTCGGAATGGATGAAGAGTCTGGTGTGCCGAGTGCGATAGACTGGACACGTAGGGTTGCGTCGCAGGGAGGAGGGTAGTATTCCTTTAGGGGTCGATGACTTCGTATAGACAAGATTTAAGGGTGGGTTTGGGACCGATTGAAAATAACCTTTATTATTAGGGGGTGTTATTAGCCCCTATTTGCGTGACCGGATTCTATACTGAAACCCCCCAACCCCCATCCGGCACTGCTCGACCTTCGTCCCTGGTAACAGCTGTTCTCCCGACCGATTATTTTTCGATAATTCCCACCCGCTATACCAGCATTCAAATAAGATAGGGGGTTAAGGATTTTACGAAACCCCGAAAAAGCTTCGATTTCTCCCGCGTAGCTTCAACGATTCTTCATTTTTCTCCCAGTCGGGTCGACAGTTTCTAGCTGCACTTTTAACTCTCGACCCTCTTCTCGAGACCCCCTCCCTACGTGAGGGAGACTAGATCTCGAGGCTGGGCGTGACGTCACAATGAAGCAGAATCTTTGAACCGCTTTCTGGGAGGACAAAGCTGTCAGAGAAATGTCGGCCATTTTTTAGTGATTTTTTCCTTACTTTTTCTCACCTTTTTTTTTTGCACTGGGAAAACGGAAACAAAAATTGGTCCAGAACATGGGGATGCTGGAGAGATTTCGTAAGACGATCAACGTCAACTGTGAATGACGAATGTTTATTTGCAAAATTTTCGCGAGTAAGGCCAATGTTCAAAATTTGCTGGATACTGCCAGAAAATAAAATGAGATGGACCGACTGAGACGAGGGATGCTGTGGTCCAGAGGAGTGTTATAAAAAAAAAAGATTTACCTTCAACCACGTATGTTTAACTCTCATATTCTTGGTACGGTATTACTATTTTTTTTATCTGTCTCTCTTTCATTTCTCTTTTCCCTTATCGTCCCTTATCGTTGATATTACTACTGTGATCTGGAAATATGCAAAAATATTGAATCTCCCACTGAGGT